CTGTTCCATGATCTTCCCAGGCACAGAGGTGAGACTGACTGGCCTGTAGTTCCCTGGGGCTTCCTTTCTTCCCTTTTTAAAAATGGGGGTTATGTTTCCCCTTTTCCAGTCAGTGGGAACTCTACCGGACTGCCACGACTTCTCAAATACGATGGATAGTGGCTTAGCAACTTCATCCGCCAGTTCCTTCAGGACCCGCGGATGGATCTCATCGGGTCCCATGGACTTGTGCACCTTCGGGTGCCTTAGATGGTCTCGAACCTGATGTTCTCCCACAGTGGGCGGCTCTTCATTCTCCCAGTCCCCGCCTTTGCCTTCTGCGGCATGGGCGGTGAGGCTCAAGCACTTGCCAGTGAAGACCGAGGCAAAAAAGTCATTGAGTACCTTTTATCTTATCATCATTTCAGCAGTGTACTGCCAAATGTATTATTTCATTTAATAAAACCTATACTGTTCTTAAGTTCAAAGAGCAGTACTGTTCTCTTGACCATGCCAAATTGTCTTAAGAAACATGCAGTCCCAGCATACCAAATGCTCTGGACTTGTTCACAGAAAAGTTAGTCTGAGATCACAAAATGCAATGGGATCAGAACACCTTTGAACTTTCTGTCCAGTATTTTGACCAGATCCCCTCAAAGCGTTATTTTCTATATAATAAAGCTTTTTTTCTTCTTTCAGTTGAAGGAAATTAAGAATACTGTATCTAAAACTTCATCATTCAACTTCATGATAAATAACATTTGAGGTCCTGCAATCTTTGCACTTCCCTAATAAGACTTAATAGAAGGGAAATAGATTTTCAGATACTAATATCAAGTTCCTTCATTCTTGCCATGTGCAAGTTTCTACAAAAAATTTAAGTTCTCAGATTTTAAAGTTTTCAGAATTGGGAGGCATCAAATGAAACTAACACCTGGTGAAAAAGAGTTGGTTTTTTACCCAGTATATAATTTAAACTGTCAAACTTCCTACTGCAGGAAGCTTTGAAGCCTAAAAGTTTACAGACATTCTAAAAAAACACACACGGAAATTCCATGGTGGGGGAGAAAACCACACCTATCCAAGATATCAAAAAACAAAAGACATCACTTCAGACTCAGCATGTTCCTAAACAATACTTTTCCTGATGATGAGAGAGAGACTTCTTCAGAAGTATCTCCCCACTGCATTTTTGCCCTTACATTCATCCATATGCATCTGCTATTCAATACTGGAGGAACTTGTATACCAAGCTAGACTGATGCAGTGTAATTGTTCTTCTGACCGTTGTACTATCTCAATTCACAGATACCATGAGTTTGAGTCTTTAGTCCAGAGTTATCACAAAGGCACAGTGACCTATTGCAAGCCACTGAACGGGAAAGACTGAAAAGAACCCCACCCCAGCAACAATAACAAAAAAAAACCCCAACATTAAATGGCAAGAGAATAATCTAACACTAACAAAGAAGCTGGTCTTCTTGGTCTACAGAGTATCTCAAACCCTGGTGATTCAGATTTTGTGTGCAGTCTCCAAAATCTGTCACTGAAGCTTCCCCCCAGTTCGAAAAATTACAGCATGATTCAATTGTACCACTTATAAACAATATCCAAAGCTTTCCCTAAATATCATTAAAGAGACAGCCTCCAAACTTTGGATAAGATGTTGCTAAGACACATCTAAATACCACAAATTAAGAACTTAAATCTGAAACTGATGACACTAATATCTTGATCGACAAAACAATCCACCGAATTGCCTCCAGCATGTTACTTGCTTAGCACTGGTTCCCTAAGCCAACAAAGCCTCTACTGTCAGAGAATGCACTAAATTTAAAAAAAAAAAAAATCATTGCCTTTCTGGCCAACTGAAATACTCTACTCTCACACTCAACAACGAAGCAGTTTGCTACAACATTCTGAAAGAAAGTGATGGTCCCTAGTTATGGGATGTTAAAGAATGCAAAACCAAAAAAGCTCCCAAACATCTGACTGGTCCGACTGCATTCAGAAGAATGGGTGCAAAAGTTACGACAATTAAATTGCTATGATAGCTGGTATATTAAGCAGCGCTCAACAATACAGATTAATTCAGATGACTATGTTATTGGGAAAGTGGAGCTCTTAAATCTAAACAAAGAAGGTATCAGAACCCCTAAAGCATGGGAATTTTTACATGACTAGACATATACTTAGCTCAAAACAAAGTAACCACTGCAGAAGTTGTTCTCAGATGTCAATGATGTTAAAAAGCTGTTGCCACAAGGATCCATACTCCTTGAAAATAATTTGAGCTTCATTTTGTTTTAAAATAGGTCAACAGATACTTATAACAAAGTCTAGCTTGAAAACCCGTATTATCTTTTGCTGAAAGTCTCTCCAAAACTGATGACCTGCATAAGCATTCAAATCTCTTTTCCACACCTCACTGTAATGTAACTTCTACGGGTATCAATATTTACCTGTCATTCTTATCTTACAATGTAAGATACTACCTTCATCCTATTTTTTAGTATCTTGAGTTTCTTCTCACCAGCCAGCTCCATACTATTAAATGGTTACCTTTCTCAAACTTGTCAGCAAATTTGGTATTAAAAACACATATAAGTATTACACTCAATCCCTTTTCATCCAATTCTCCATCTAGCACTTCAAAGTCATCTCACCTACTTCTGTTCAGACATAAAGAAGAAAGCTCTTCATCTTGCTCCTTTTTGAAATCTGCCATTTTGACCTTTCCAAACAGGATCACATGTTCCAGAAGTCAGCACCGTTCAAGGTCACAAGAACTGAAGAAAAGGGGAGGGAACCATATAAGAACGAGCTCAAAAGGCTTTCAGGAAGAAACAGCCAAAGCTGCCATAAACGGCAGTAAGGATCAGTTCGTAACTGGAAAAATTAAGCAAGTAGTTCAGAAAACAGTAACAAAAAATATTGGACTCGTGAGACTGATGAGAGAAGTTTTGAAGAAATGTACAGCTCTTGAAAAAAACCCAAACATAAATTGGCAGAGAAAGTAAGAGAGATGTCCCTCCCTGACAAAGAATAGGAAATTATTCAGACCGGTTATCAATTGAGTACGTAAAGGGAAAAAGAAGGCTGAGTGTTAGGAAATGTTTTTTAAGCAGCGTATCTTACACTAAGTTCTCAAAAGGAAAAACTAGAAAACATTATCACTTGAATAAAGCTCTGCAGAACAGACTATAGGACTATATAACAATACCATGACCTCTGAGTGGTAAGAGAAATTCTATCTAGCCCACAGCTTTATAGGTTCCACAAATCAAAATCACAGACTGGTCAATCTATCAGATGGTTCAAAAACATCTTCCCTGCTAGACATCTCATTTAATTCTAATAGCACTGCACAATTCTATTGATCTTCCATTGTACTCTATCTGAAGGACTTAGATAATTCACGGAGCATAAACTACCTAGCAAATCAGTGAAGAGTTAAATAAACCTCTACTAACATACCGGTCTGCTCAGGAGATGTGAAGACAACCATCACCTATTGACAACTAATGTTTTCAGACCCTCAACTTTCCTAATCACCAACTTCAGGAGACTGGAAGTCACCTACCATCATCGTAAGAGGCGGAAAACTCTCTATCTGATCCTGCAGTTTAATGAAAGATTACTTAGATCTCAAAAATATTTACAATTCAAGACAAAGCTCTAGTAAAACCTCGTTTTCTATTACTTTCTTATTTGAGGAGTACGGAACTCTGTTTTAAAATGAAGCCAACTAAGAGGCAAAAGCTCCACAAAACTCAGGTATAGCACCCCACATTTTTTGTATGACTACACAACAGGATGTTAAAAGGATTTCAACACATCATGACAATATCTGCCAAGCCACAGCTTACGTGCAAGTGAAAAGCCATTCTACTTTAAAATAATCTCAAAATAAATTTGCTGTATTAGTTTCTAGCTCAAAGCTGCTCTGTACACCCCCACAAAGAAAATTCTTCTCTGAGAATGAAGAAAAAAAAAAAAGCACGGAGAGCTACAAGAGTGAAAATACAGACTACCACACACCACCTTCCTTTCAAGGACACTACTGTTGTTGCTTTGGGGCGGAGGGGGAAGTTACAAAACTCCCTGAGCATTGCCAAGGTCACAACATTCTGAGTTTTCAAAGTTGCTCTGCATTTCTGCCATAAAATAGCGAGAGAGTGTTAGGAACAAGAATTACCTTATCATTCTTGCCTGCAGTAGCGTGACAAACGGGGAAAAAAGTAAAGGCATGTTATGCATGTAACACAGTAACTTGTAGTGCTGCTTTTAAGAGACACTGTTCAACGCACATCCAAGATCAGTGCTCCCTGAAAACACTGAGGATTGTACACAGCTGTCCTTGACACTATTCAAAATACACACCTGTGAACTAGTAACCTAAATTCACTTACCACTGGAAGGACTGGGGGATTTAGCAGTTGCCTTCTCCTGTGGCTGCATCTGCTCTTCTTGCTCTGGATTCCTTGTCCTAACAGTATCCTCCGTATTCTTTGGCACCTGACTCTCCTGCTGAGTCACCAGCGCGTCAACCCCTCTCTCTTGAAGTGGTGGCTGATTCCCTGTTATCATTATCTGTCCTAATTCTGAACAACCTGGATGTTTTTTGGCACACAACGCCACTTCCGATGGAACGTCACTCTTCAACTTCGGAAACAAATTGTTGTGTTCCAGTAACTCCCCTACAGAAGCCTTAGATAAAACTTTATTGAGCTTTGGCATGTTTTCCGAAGCAGCCTTAAAGGGCAGTTTATCCATGCTCTTTGCCTCTCCAGTGCCAGAAGTACAACCTTTTGAAGTCTCTTTTCCCCGGATTTCTGGTCCCATCTTTTCTAATTCTTGGGCCTGATCAGACAAATTTTTGCTATTTTTACAAGAACCATCAGCAAATTCCACTTCCATATCTTCATGACACTGTACTTCCCTTTCAGGAACAAACCTCTGAGAAAGCGTTATATTAACAAGGGACCCATCTTCATTTATTTGCTTCTCTTTTACTTGCAGTTTTTCTTCTTGTTCTTCACACTGAGTCTCAGGAACTGCCTCAGGTTCAGAAGTCTCTTCCAATGGATAATCCTCAGACTGTGCTTCTCTACCTTGAGCGTATGACAAAATCTCAGGCAGACCAGACTGATCTGCAGCAGCCTGACTTCCAGAAATACACTCTATCTCCCGATGAGCTGTAGGGGCTAATGACCCATCTCCTGCTACATCTGCACTAACTAACTGCATTACAGGCTTTCCTGCAGTCTGTAAATCCTCCTTTTCTGCTTTTTCACAGTTTTCTGAGAGGGCTTTATCACCTGCATCCAGTCTCAGTTTTATGTTGCCATTCTCCACAGAACAGAGTCTCAAGTCTGAGGCCTTGCATTCAGAACTCATCTCCACCTGGGTGGTTTCGCTATCTTGGCCCGTGTTCAGAGAGCCTGAACTTGAACCGACTTCTGTATTTGTGGGCTGGCTGCTGGCACTTGCAGAAAGTATCAGCTTACAGGACTCAGAAGGCTGTGACAAAGAGTCACCTGTAGATGTCTTTGACAAATCATCTGTGGGTCCAGAGAGATCTCCTCGTAAGCATAAACGGGTTAAAGCAGCAGCTTTTTCTTCTCCTTCATGCTTCTTCTCTGGGCTTGGAGTTGGAACAAAGATATCCTAAAATGAAAAAAGTGGGATGTGGAACATCAGGGGACCCCAAGTAGGACTGTTTATTTGTTATTCCTAGAACATTACACTGGATTATGGAGCAGAGCAAGCTCAGCACAAAACTACAGATTTAAAAAACAAACAAACAAACAAACCCAAAACCAACAACTACTTCCCCCCCCCATTTATATGAGTCAGAATTGCCCCGTTCTTGCTGAGAAAAATTATCACCACCCATAACTTTTTAGTACCTCTGTGGCACAGTCAGACACAATCCTTGGTACACCTCTCACACTACCAAATCACGAAGTACAGGTCAAATATGGCAAATTAGTAGCTATTTTTAGTCAAACAACCAACGGTTCTGGAAATGTTCTCTGGAAGAATCTATTATATTAGCATGAAAGCTGCTTTCAGCTAAGGAGAAGCCCTGTTTCGACTACTGAAGTCTCTAGTACAACCTTTATTTTCTGCCTTAAGTTGATAAAATTTGTAATATTAAGCTATAAAGCCACCAACTGTCTGTTAAATCCCTTTGAACAGTAATAACTTCCAGAATCAAAAAGCACAAAGGAAACAACAGATAACACGAATAAGCAACTTGAAAAATTCAGTAAATGAATTCTAGTCTTGTAGGAGAATACAAATGCTTTATTACAAAACAGCTTCACTTTCTCCATGACAAATGATGCCAAGGTCTATCCTGATAAAAGTCTAATTTATGACGCAGTTTGAGATGCAGGACGCCCAGTTCAGCATCAGAAAGCAGCAGCCTTTCAAAGAGAGAAAGGGAAAAAAAAGCAGAAAAAAGGTTTCTAGCACAGATTAAAAGACAACAAATTCTACGTGCAGTAACTATGCCCTCTTAAGCTGTTCCGCATTTTCTCTGCAGGATAAACTGCCACACAGTATGATCAATATACAACTGTGACTGGTGGGAACAGGGAAGCTGATGAGAGCCAACTTAGTAGGGAAGCTCAACACAGAAGCACAGAGGCTGACTCAAACACACATCTTCTGCAACAGCCATATAAAAACCTCAGGAAAGATATCTGTGTGAACCCTTACATGAGAGAACTCTGGTTGTGATGGCATAGGTAAAGATCCAGGAAAGAAGGTTGGGGCACTGTGGGACACTGGAGTTGAAGCTTGTGGCAGGACAAGAGGTCCTGGTGGGATACATGGGATGGCCATCTCCACTAGTGTATCTCCTCTCTGCTTCTGCATCAGCTCTCTTCCTTCTGCAGGGATAGATATATCCACCTGTTCATCTGGTTTGAAAGAGCAGAAAATACATTACTAGCAAATTATTGCATTGTACCTAAAGTCTCCAATATCCTATTAAAAGACTTGTCTTCAGTGGCGTATGCAACTTTCTCAAACTTTAATGGGTGAATCTAAAATCTTCTCTCCAGGTGAATTCTTTTTGGAGACAAAAAAAAAAAAAAAAAAAAAATCAACAAAAAATGTCATATCCTTAAATTTAAGGTGGGGAGAAAGTGTTTTGTTAAGAATTCATGTAACTATTTTGCTACAAGTCTAGAACTTCTACAATTAGAAAAAGGTATCTGAAATTTATAAAAAGCATTTCTCTGAGTTCTTTTCCTTTTGCTATCTTTATTAAAACGCAACCAAATTCAGACCCCAGCTAACAAAATATCTATTCTAAAAGTATTTCACATTCTGTGACAGGAATCTCACAGAAAGGAATGGTGATTTTGTATCATACTAAAAGTCTGTGTGGATGGATATCTTATCCCTGATGGCAAACGGGTGCTTAGAGAAAATGGTTAAGAACCAAGGTATCATATAGAACAATCCCTCTTTTGGCATGGTGTTCTAGAATACACACATGTAACATACGAAAGCTTTTCAAAATATTGCGCAAGTCATCCAAGTTAAGGTAAAATGTTACGATGCCGTCCTCCTCTGTCCTTTCTATTACCCTAACAGTATATACTTACTACAGATATTTGCCTGTAGCAAGAATGGCTTGTCCCGAAGAAGGAGGACAATTGCTGTATCCCATACGAAGTATTTCCCATCTTTCAAGTGAAGGGGAGCTAGCTGACGGTACTGATTTTGTTTTGACAGCTATGCAAGAAATATCGACAGCACATCAGCATCTGAGTCACGAACACATATCTCCCTTCATCTATTTCTTTCAGTGTTCTCAATCCTGCTTTATTCTTTAAATATAATTTTAGCAGGTTTTGAAAAGGCTGGTAAAAACCACAGAGCACAGAAACACAACCACAGACCAGCATGAAGAAAATTTTTACCTTTTGCTTGCTCCTGTTCAGTAGGACTGCTGGGGACAAGAGCATTGGATCCAAAGGCAACAGGAGGAGGAATAACTAGGCCTGAAGAGACACTGCAGACCAAGAAAAGGGAACATGGAAAAGAAGACCATACGTCACTAGAAAATGCACTAACTTCTCCCCAAAATGTAGCTCCAGCTTGCCACAACAGGAGTCTTCTCATAAAGGGAGAGTATCAGGTGTTCACTAGCAAGAGACTCGAGAAATGGCCATTGACCACATGGGCATCATTAGCTCATTTCATTGCAAAATAAAGCCATGCATCTCTCATAGTGCAAAATTAAAACATTGATTGCTTAAAATCAGGCACAAGTCCTTGAATAAAGAAAAGAGTGGTGGAAATGCACTATTGCAATTAAGCTATTGCAATAGTTTGGGGGTTTTTTTGCTTACGTGGAATGACTCTCCTGTACAAGGGATCCCTGTCCAGAAAGCTGCAGCAGCTGCAGACTGCGGGCAGGGGTGCATGCCAGAGAACTTCCCTCTTCCACCCTGGTTATCGGACAGCCACTCCCTGCAGCGGTTTTGAACAAAAGGAAATAAGATTAGAAATCTGGCCCATAACCAAGCTGATCAGAAAATTCTGAGGAATGATGTTCACACTACCGCATGGTTACTTCTCAGGTTGGCAAGAACAAGCCGACTTGCACACGGAGTTGGAGAAGGACTGCACAGGAAAGGTCAGTATGTGAAACGTGAGCATAATATAGTTAAGATGAAAAAGGTAAGTTTGTACCTATAGAATAGATTTTTATCAGGCCAGACTGTACAAGTCTTCCTACTTCCAAAAAGACTTTGATCGCAGAATCCTGTCCTATCCCAAACAGGAAGGCCAATTCAGAGAAGTAAGGTGGAATGTTTTGCCAAAGTTACCCAGCATAAGAAAAATCCCCAATGGCTCCAATAGCGGCACATTTGATCCAGCACTAGAATGCAAATACAAGCAAGGTTCTTACAAGAAAAGACACCTTGCATTGACCACTGACTCAGTGTGAGTAGGAGGCTGTTATTGAACCTTCTGGATACAGAGGGTTCGTGCACAAGATCATACTGGAATAGACACAGCTGTGCACAGATTAGAACTGAACAAAAAGTTCACGCTTTATAAACTGTGACGAAGTTGCCCTTCAAAACTTAATTTTCTAGGCCTTTCACTGTTAAGATTGTTAAGAACCTTTCTATTTCTTTATTAGCCTTTCAGTTGTGGATACCAAAACCAGACATAGACATCCTCCTAGCAAGACATAGTGATGACCTCTCTCCTGATCCTATTTCATGTAATCTCTTCTCTTACAGGGAAGGAACGTTAACCTAGATGACAAATAAGACTGACCAAAATTGCGGTACGAAGATTTTGATTGCAGAATCCTGTCCTATCCCAAATAGGAAGGCCAATTCAGAGAAGTAAGGTGGAATGTTTTGCCAAAGTTACCCAGTATAAGAAAGTCTACAGTATTTGCCTACACTACTTATCCACACTTTAGATTGTGTGTCGCTACAAAGGGTGAGCATTATTACTGCCAGTTTCAGAAGGTAAAAAGGGGTTTTTTTGTTTTGTTCTTCAAGGGGCACAGAAAGAAAGGAAATTAAATGTATTTAACAAGCCAGTGTAACTGTTCTAACAAGAAGTGACATTTAGACATTGCTCCATAGTATAGTGAAAAAGATTGCGGCCTTTCGTTTCCAAAGCATTCCCAATTTTAGCAGAAATTACGTGAAAAATACAGCACTCTGCACCCTAAAACACTACGTGCCTAAAAAGATCAAGTAGGGATGATGATTATGATGATCTCTGGGATGGACATTTTGGCTTTGCTTGTCTATTGTTACCTGTTGCATTATTCTCAGGAAACATCTCTTCCTGAGTTGACAAGATATCCGACTCCTCGTGACCAGAATCAAGGGATTTCTCGGTTTTAGTGGGGTCACAGACAGGCATATGTTTCCTGGTATGCTCTTCTGCTTCCTGCAGAGTTCTGGAAAAGCAAGACACAGTCACTGACCTGAGAAATTCGAAGTATGAAGTAATACTGCAACATTGTAGAGAAAATGTATCAGCACAGATGAAAGGTATTCACCTGTATTTTCCTATACCATAGGAAAAAAAAAAAAGAAAGAAGGGGACAAAAAAAAAAAAAGAAGGGGACAAAAAGACCAACCTCTCTCTCCTGACAAAACAACATGTTCATCCTTGACAAGTTACATTTTCAGAATTGTTTTGTAAGTTTTCTACCAATCTAAGTGATGCTTAAATGGAATGCAGATTGTTCTACTGACTTATATTCCATGTGGATTCTAGGAATTTTGTTTCACCTCCTTTTTAATATTATTTTGTTGAAGAATTTGACAATACAAGATGAGCTAAGTATTATTCTATTGGCATAAAAGATATAGAGAGAATTTTCAACAAACTGAAGTTTCACATTTAAAAATAATTAAAACTATAAAGCTTACAATAGCAAATACTCAAAAGCATCCTGGAATAGCCACCACTTAGCCTCTAGATTTCTCCTGTGAGGCCAAAGCCCATGCTGCAGTGATTAAGTTACTTTGAAATAACTTCTGTGACTTAAACGGAATTATTACTTTTAATATATTCCAGTTGTTTAAGAAAATTATTAGTATATTTTATTATCCAGTGCACTCTCCCTTAAAAATAAACCTATTGATATCTTTGTGTGTTAAGAGTTTGACACCACCTCTTTTCTCAGCTAGGAATGGTGAAAGCACTCCTTAGTCAGCACTGCTGCAAAAAGGTCTCATCAGTACTTCATCTTTCCCTTCACTTTGCTCTTTTGCCTTGAAGCCTGAGCCCTCCTACGTCTAAAAATCTAGTAAAAGAGACACAAATCAACTTCCAGAACGTCAGCAAGAGACCTACAAAGAACATGGACTGTTTTACCTTTCAGACTTCTCTGGCTGGCCTTCCAAAGCACTATGCGCTTCTGTGCTGGAGACAGTTTCCGTGCTGTCCCCACGCGGTTCTAGCAAGAGAGAGAAAAAAAAATGTTACTTGGGTCACCTGGATTAATATACAAAGAGAAGAAAGTGTAGTTCTGTAAATGACACAAATATCAAAACAAGCTTTATATGAAAAAAAAAAAATCTTGAACTATCAATGATAACAACAACAACAACAACAAAGACGACCAGGATGAGGTTTTTACCAGGGAGGGAATTCAGTATCAGATTGTCTGAATATTCTGGAAGCAAATTAGGAAGGAAAGGTGCAAGAATCAACGACAGCACTTGGACAGCTACAAGAAAACAAATGAACTAGCCCAAAGAAAAGAGAAGGCAAAATTATTTTCAACTACCAATGAGCTGTGAACTCATTTTTGAAAATTACTAATACTCTATTTCCTGTCAAAGAAACATAACATCTATAATTTCAAGAAACCAGAGAGAATTGACAGAGCAACAAAAGGACATCTAAGATCATTTTCACATACCATCTTTAGTATCGTTCTTCTGAAGTCTGGAAGAAGGGACAGCAGCTCCAGGGTGAAACTGATGCCCAGCATCTCCTTCATTGGGCACGAAGTCACTCTCAAAGTCCTGGCTCTGCGAGAGCTCTAGAGCTCCAAAATGCAGCTGTGACATGCCTGTATCTAACACCAAACATCCATAACTAATACATATACCAAAAAAAAAAAAATCAAGGAGCCATCTATCACTTTACAAGGGCAAAAATACACCCTCTAACATGAAAAGTATCTAGGCTATTGCTGAAACTCTGAATAAACTAACAGTCTCTGATCTCAGCTGTACTAATTAAAAATACGGTAACAGAACAGGGACAGTGGCCATTAACTCAGAAACCAGTGTTAATCAGCAAGGTCTTATGTAACACCATTAGGTACTGCAGCAGATTTGGATTCCGTGATGAGAAAACAAACCTGATAATAGACAGCCTGTGCCTGAAAGTCCTTTGATGACAACAACCATTATGCCAGGAGCTCTTTGCCATAAAAAGGCTCCATCTCCTACCGGTCACGATGCACCCATGCCTCTCCTAAGCCATTTCCTGTCTCCAAGATCCTCGTTAACAATGACATGAAATCACCATTTTTTTTCCAACACCAAAACATATAGATCAACTTCTGGAAAAAGACGCCAATTTCTGACCCATTATTACTGGCACAACTACCCCTAGTGAGACCAGTGGGGCAGCCGAACTGAAAAACTACACAGATGGCTGGTCAGATTCACAGCCCCAAGAAGAGACCCGAAATGGAGAAGTTACCTTCTACAGACGGCGAAGTAGTACAGTCCTCAACATCACCTTCACCTCCTTCTCCAGCCTTTCCAAGGGCACTGCAACAGAAAGACTTATTCACATCGCTTTGGGGTTTCCTGCAGGCCTTAGAGCCCACTTGCGTTCTGAGGGGTTGCTTCGCAGCTGCAGCACCCGGCCAGGCGCTCCCAAGCCCTCCGAACCGCGCACCCCGGCGCGGGCCGGGCCACC